AGTCAAATGCCTGAAATTGAAATTACAGGCAAGGGGACCCGATATCAGGCTCTCATGAGCCTCTTGTTATTGATTATAATGTTTCTTTTTCATTATCTTGGTGGTTATTGTATTTTATTAATAACCAGTTATACTGGTACATGTACCTTTTATGTTAAAGGCCCTTTTTATCAGAAATGTTTTTCCCTGCAAAATCATGCATAGCAGTGAATCTAAGATGTGCAGTTAAAATAGTAATTTTGTCAGCACTTACTTCAGTTACAATGTACCAAGACTGTATGTATGTTACTAGGGTTGGCAAAGTATTACCCGGAGGGGAACCCAGGCCTCAGTTTGCGGGTAATACTGGGCTAATAATAATAATAAATTATTTTTAGAAGGTTACACTGTTAACAAAACAGTTAATCCACCAGTGGTCTTCTAATCTACATGTACATACAAGAATACACAATTTTTAAAAGATAACAATACTTAAACAAAAGGGTAACAAAGCAAAAACATACTACACTGCATACAGGAGCATATATATAGTACAGGTTAACAATGACAAAAGAGGGACGAAAGATACCAGAGGGACAGTCAAACTCATAGATCGAAAACAAACTGACAACACCATGGCCAAAAATAAAAAGACAAACAGACAAATTAATAGTACAGATGACACAACATAATTTACTTAAGGATTATATACCCTTGTGTTGATTCAATGCTAAAAATGTGGAAATTTTATAGAAAACCCACAGCCTTTCCCTTTGTACTCTCATATTTGGCAATTTGGTGCTTGATAGATAGAGAATTTTTGCATGCAGTGATAGCAATGATTTCCTTAAAACAAGTTTATAAATTTAGATATTGGTTCAAACAAATATAAATATGGACCAATTCAAGTACAGCTTCTCGGGTGCACTTGACTTTAGTGACTCAGCACAAAGTTTTTTGGAATTTATAGGATGTTTAGGACTTTTTGTAAACATTAATGCTAGCACATCATAGAAAAACAAGTGAGTAATCTATGTTTTAAATTTTATAACAAAAAATCTCTTTTTTAAAGTCTGTGGATTTTCTACAAAAATCTTGGTTTTAAATGCCACAAAATCCCCTTTTTTTATTAAATGCATTGAAACAATAAAAAATAATGCTTTTTTTGAAGTTTCCCCTTGGTATATGTACAAAATGACCCATCTCTATTATTCATTATTTTTGCTGTTTTAATGATACTATTGCAGTTTGAAAATTTTGTTATTCACATGGCTATAGAAGGGTCATAAACCTTAAATAAAAAGTATATTTGTAGTAAAATTGTTTCATTAAATATGCGATAAATTCTCTTCTTGTATTTTCAACAGATAAGCTTGACATTTTGTTTTAAAAACATTTATACTTTTACTTTCCTTCAAAGTCAAAGGCAAGGAATTCCACATACATAAATGTTCTTTTACCATAATTAGTTTCATATTGTTGACAGGTTGAACAAATATATTATTTTAGGAAGATGATCTTAATGCCTATTTATTAACAACTAAACCACTTGAAAATAGTTCAAATAAATATTCAGGTGCTAGATTATTCATACACCTACAAACCATCACTATCATATAAAATATTTAATTATATTATAAATTGTAAGCCATCCTAACTTTTTAAACATAACTCAGGCGGAAACCCAGTGGAAATTAAACAAAAGAAATGGAACTCTTTGTTAGAGAAGGTAAAAAAAACAAAATTGGTATATTTGAATATTGTTTACATCTGTTTCTATGGGCTTAAAAAGTTTAATAAAGATGCATAATGTAGGATTTTATGCAACTTATATAAGTGTTTTTATTTGAATTATAGTATGGAGCTTCAAGATATTTGTAAACTTTTAAATTATAGACAAATTTTCATAAAACAGTCGATTTTGGCAGGTCCAAATCGAAATGGATCTTTTTTGTGCATAAGCATAAATTCCATCAAAAAAATTCCACAGAAAGATAATAGATTGATCTTTCTAAAGCATTAATTTGCAGCTCTGCCCCCAGCGATAGTTTTTTTGGAAAAAATCCCCAAAATGGGCAATAATTCCATCGAAAAAAGAAAGTCGAGTGCACCTTTTCATGTTCGGGCGTGTTTGAGTTGACTATTCAGTCTTGAAAACGTATAAAGCAAAAATATTTGATACATCATCTCGCTTCAGATTCTATTATTTTCATATGATTAGGCTACAGGTTGATTTAATAACATAAAAAATTCACAGTCATAAAAATATGTGGGTCAAGTGAAATACCTTTCTAAATGAGTCATAAAAACAGAGTAGGTGTGTTCGAATAACAAATTTTTACTAAAAGTATGTGACGACGGACTTTTCAACTGGATCTAAAAAATGCATTACTTCAAAAAAACTTGGTTTTTTGTGTGTGTTTTCTAGGGTTATTAGTCTTCAACCTCTGAAAAGTTTTAGTCTGCCCTTCCAGGAAATATTTAATTAGATTTTTTTTAAATGTTTTTGAATTTTCGAAAACTCCACCTGGCAACCAATTAGACAATTGTTTTAAGTTGACTGAATGCAGAAAAGTACATAACATGATACTCAATACCTAGTAGATACATTTGTCTTATAAAATACAATTGGCATATAAGGATCATTTTGGTGCTATGTGGATAAATTTATCGATTTTCAAGAGCTAAATTGGCAGCGCGTCATCCCCACAATGGCTTCCATTTTTACGATTGTAAAAGTTGACTGATGAAGAGATATCAAAACCTTAATTTAAAATGATTCTTGATGTCCTCTTCTGTAACTTATATAATTTGTCAAATATAGTTTCTGAAGCATTTCCCCACACGGTACAGCAGAAGTCCTTAATTGAAAGTATGCATCCTTATACATGTTATAATACATGTTATAATGTAGTTTGAGAACACTTACTGGAAGATATGCTTTTAGTCGGCAATACTGGGTAATATGATTTTTCAAGCTTATAATTTTTATACAAAATACTGAAGACTTGTTGTAGTTTAATAGTAATATAGCTAATTATATACATTTTTTACAGATGACCATTTTATAGAGTCATTCCTGAAGATTGAAAATTCAATTATTCCTTTTCTCCACTAATTCTATGTAGGTAGGATACAAGTTTTGGACATTTCAGGATACCTTGATAATTGATTATTCCAATCTTTGTTTCAATATTAAATCCCAGTTGAAAAAATGCATTTTATTGCAGTGTTTAAGTGAATTGTAAATTTTAATTGTTATGCAATCATATCAACATCCTAAGGGGACGGGCCATGAACACTTACATAAATCAAAAGGCTAATTTTTGTTATATAGACTAATCTGTATCATAATTAATCTGAATAATTAAGTGATGTACATAAACATATGCTTAAACTTAGTAAACCTTTTTAGTAATGAACAAAAAATGTCAAAAGATAATTTTCCTTAAAATAAGTTATATTTATTGAAAAACAAATTGAATTCTTTGACCTTTGTGTTTTGCATTTGTGATCAATCACTGAATCCTCTTTAAAAGTCAGGCCAGTATTTCATATTGTCCAGTAGTGCCCAGGTATTACCTGGTAAAACACAGTAGCTATTTATATCCCAAGTTGTTTAGCACTGTACAATGGTTTTTTTTTCCCGTAAAATTATAAAATTGGCAGGTTTTTCAATTTTTACTGTGTATAATTTCCGCTGAATGGGAATACACCGGCGAAAAAAATCAGTGTTATGTTATAGATGTAAACAAGATGTAAACAAGATAAACTTGTTTCAAAGACATATAGTCGATTACAAATTAATAGATACCAGTACAGGAAAGTATATATACCCATATATACTCATATAAATTTGACTTTTGAATAATTATAATAAATCTGATAAATCAAATGAGTGTTCAGGTGCTTTTAATACTTAATGAGCATTGAAAAAGCAAATTTTTGCAATATTTAAATTTTTTAGGCCCAAATCTTGATAGTTGAAATAATTTGATTTAAATGTCAAAATTAAACATCCAATTTTCAATATTAATATGGCCATAGTTTCTATGATATATATCCTATGTCCATGAAACTTGGCCAACTGTCTTATAATTCACTCAGCTTATGTCATGCAAAGTTTTATTAGAATTGGTCAAGTCTTTCTATCCTATTAGGCCAGAGAACACAGTTTAAATATCAATCTTTGGTTTTCATATTGTCTACAAATATAGTCCGTAGTGTGAACCTTTTTTTTTATACACTTTCCAAATTTATTTCTTGATATTTTATGCATGAAGTATTAAGTAAGGGGATGAAATTACATGTTAAAAATATTTGGATGTTGAATGTTTATGTTAAGTAGACTGTAGTGATTTGGTCCAGTTAAAAAAGGTAAAAAATTAGTATGTTTGAAGCTGTCAAACTGAATTTTAGACCCCCTTAACATAGAATTGTCCATATTTTGAGTTGGAACTGGTAGACTTTTCTATGATTTTGATACTATTTGTCCCAATAGTAGTACACTACACTGTAAAAATCTTTTTGAGATAGAGCAGATGTAATTTTTTGAATTTAAATTTATTGTCTAAAAGAAATGGACTATGAAATAACTTGTGTTCTCAGGCCATATAATCCTCGAAAGATCAGAAAATAGAAACTAAATGTTGCAGGCCAAACAAGCCTGAAAGCACCATATATACAATGTAATAGAATACATCAGATAATCAGTTTCATTTGTACTACCCAGTAGCTTTCCTCTTAAATATAGCAATAATTACTTTCAATTGGCTTTGGAATACAGAAAACTGGTTGCTGTCAATGTGACCATGGTGACAGTTCATTTCTTTTTAACATGTTTAATGAACATGAAGAAATTTGTCACACATGTATCTTCAGTACTTCTGAACAGAATGACTTCATATTTTGTAAGCAGCTCAACTGTGATATATGTGTTATTCCAGTTGCAACGTGTGAGTGCATTTAATAAATTGAATTATTGAACACGAATAAATCTTTGAATTCTTATGTTTCATTAGGAGTTTAATCCAGTGATAGATGCAGAGTTCTACATTAGAAAGTGTGAAGACAAGGAGGGTTTTGCTGTTAAAGAAATAACTCCAGAGATAGGTGAGTTTTGTCAGTAATTTTAGTCTTATCATTGATGGCCACATTGTAAAAATCATGACTTCTTTTTAAGTTTCTATAAAGCTAGGTAAAGACATTTAGCATGTCTAACTTAATTTAAAGGGGCTTTAGGTACAATTTAGACAAAAAAATAAAATATGAACTTTGTTTTTTATCAAATATTTATAAAAGCTGTATATTGAAATAATAATTTAGCTTTGTCTACTATTGCGTTGACAAGTGCTCCTGAATCACTGGACAGAAATTTTGAAACTTTCACATAATTTTCATGATCTTACACACATGGTTTACTTTTGCACCTCATATTTCATTTTTCGTCTGAATGGTTTTTGTGGTTAACTTTGCGGAAACATGGACCTGATTATATTTGCATATATATAAAATCTGTATCAACTTAACATCTTAATAACCCATAAACATAATTTATTGAATCTTTCTCAGAATTTTACCCCAAAACAGTAATGCTATTGTTCACCTTTAACACATGTCTCGGGGGTTTATCTGGGTATTTTGGGAAAAAGGACCCTGGCCAGTTTTGGGAATTTGTTTACGCGATTTACAATGAAATTGGGAAAACTACTAATATACCAGATGCGAGTTTTAGTGTGTTAAGTTCATTAAGAATTATCTTCTTTTGTTGTTTATAATTTTATTTTCTGTTCTTTCTTTCTTTTCTTAACTTAACAATAAGGAACTCAAGTTTATCTAGCATTAAAATATTGTAGTTTTTAAAGCACACATGTGACAAAACTTTTCCCCCTTTTTTTATCTTCAAAGACAGCAACAGTTAACATGGTTAATATGGTTAATATAATACAAATAATTCAGGGATAGAAATAAGATGTATTTTAACTGGCCAAGCAGGCTAACACTTCTTTTAATTCACTTGCTCTTCCAGATTTTGACTGGCCCTTCAAAATTGAGAAGAAAAAAGTAATTCATTGATCTGTAGTTATTTGTTAGCATTATAAAATATGAATATTTTCCAGGAAAAATATTGAGTATCAAAGTATCAAATTAATTTCGGGATTTTTTTCTTTCTTGGTATTAAATCACAGAAACTTAAAGAAAATACTGCTTGTCCGCTTTAGGTGTATTCTTGTCAGTTAAGACTGACATATATGTCTCTGGTATAAAGTGGGGTTATGAATGAATGATAAGTCTTGCAAAGGTACAAGATATAAAGCACATTGATAATTGATTCCTCCGGTCTGTCTCCATTCAAAAAAGGAAAGTTGACGTTAGATTGATTCTGTAATTTTTTTTAAACATCGTTGGTCAAATAGCTAAAGTATGTATACGTTGTAAGATTTTAAATATTTTAATAAGGGCATTCCCGATTAGGTAAATGTAGATCGCTGTGGACGGACCAACCTATATTAATCATGTAACCACGATAATTTTCTCTAAACATTGAAATATTCACGGTTAATACCCATGATAATTTGAAAAAGTAAGTACAGTGTTTGGTTTATACGCTTGTTTTCGTGGGCCATTTTTATTTGTAAAATTATTTAATTGAAAGTAATTCAGAATTTCGATGTTACAACAAAATACTCACCTATCTATTTTAAAATTAAGCTTACGCAAAATATAAAAGATATACATGTATATAACGGCGATTCAGGTATTTTGCCACCATATTCCTCCCCAAATAATTAATGTTTTTATCATTCATACGAAATGTTGTTCACACCTGTAACGGTGAACCGTGTTGGCTAAAATTCACTGAGTGAAGATCAAAAGAATAGAATTACAGAATGCTAATCTTTTAATTACCTTGAATTTAACCATGCATTCAACAGGTGGTCACTTAGTGTCACAGTACAATACACATTGTATTTACACAGTACTAGACTGAAGTAAAAGCCTTCAGGTGAGAATACAAACATGCATTTGTAAAACAATATCAGTTATACATGTTTGTTCAAAATATCCGTCGGAAAAAAAATTCATGAAAATATATTCTATTGTATGATTTACTTTTATTACTATAATCATATCAGAAATCCTTTAAATATAAATTGTACATTTTAATTTTGAAAGTTGCACGGCAGATCACTTTACTTTCTTAATTATTAGTTGGTTAATAGCTACGCCAAAAGTCGTCGATGTGCTTTAAATCGCGTTATTAGATGATTAACGAACAAGACTTACAACGAGATTTATTCACTCCCGGCATGCAAAAAGACTTAAACTACGTCACATAAGTCAGGAAGTTGGAATAAATTAAATTATTAATTCCCAATTTTCTTCTTTATTAGTGTTCATATCCAGATAAAACTTGGTAAATATGTTGTTTATGGTATTATGAACATAATAAGATGAAAAGTAAAAAATCGCGAATTTTCCCTTTAAGACATCTTTTTTTAGAAGAACCACTTATTATTTAATATGAGGTTGTATAAGTGTTGTCATATATCATTTCAACATAGATTATTTGGCACCAAACCTTTAGTCATGGTTCAGATGTTTTGCATTAGTTCATATAAATTTTTAAGTATTGCCATTTAAACATCAATATTTGCATTTTAACTACTATAAATTCAGAAATTATTGCGAGGTTTTTATTATTGCAAAAAATGCCACAGGGTTATAATCACAATAATTTAAACTCGCATTTTGAATTTTTTATATGAGTTAAACAGGATTTTTCTCAATATCGCAAAAATTAAAATAGCATTTTAGTATAAAATGACAAAATCGCAATAATAAATGCATGCAATAATCTGAATTTACAGTAACAAAATTACATACAAGCAACCATTTTTCTGCATTTGTCAAACATTTATGAAACAAAATCCTTTGAATGGATTTTTAAGATATCACAATTTAAAGCAAAGCCCTTTTTCCATAATTCTATATATTTATTGAACTATATCACTAATTTTTATACCACCGCAAAAATTAAAAAATTTTTGGTCGTATATTGGTATGACGTTGTCGTCGTCGTCAATGTCGTCGTCGTCGTCCGAAGACACATTGGTTTTCGCACTCTAACTTTAGTTTAAGTGAATGGATCTCCATGAAATTTTACCATAAGGTTCAATACCACAAAAGGAAGGTTGGGATTGATTTTGGGGGTTATGGTACCAACAGTTAAGGAATTAGGGGCCAAAAAGGGGCCAAAAATAAGCATTTTTGTAACTTCCAGACATAACTTGTGTGTTAGTGTATGGATCTCTCTGACATTATACCACAAGGTTCCACATCACAAAGGGAATCCTGGGATTGATTTTGGGGGTAATTGCCTCAAAATGTTAGGAATTAGGGGCAAAAAAAGGGGCAAAAAACAAGCATTTTTCTAGTTTCATGATAATAACTTGTGTGTAAGTGTATGGATCTTTCTGAAATTGAACTACAAGGTTCCATATCACAAGAGGAAAGCTAGGTTTGAGTTTGGGGGTAATTGCCCTAAACTTTTAGGAATTGGGGGCCAAAAAGGGGCCTAAAAACAAGCATTTTTCTAGTTTCCAGACAATAACTTGTGTTCAAGTGTATGGATCTCTCTGAAATTGTACTGCAAGGTACTATACCACAAAGGGAAGGCTGGGATTGAGTTTGGGGGTGATGAATCATAAGGGGGTCCAAAAAATTTAGGGGAGGGATTTTTTTTTTCTTTAAAATTTTCCATTTTATAAATGGGTTATTTCTGATTTATATATAAAAGCAAATAATAATGATATGGTTTGAATTGGTAAATTCAAAATTTTTAAGTTCTTAGACCACATTCATTCTGTGTCAGAAACCTATGCTGTGTCAAATATTTAATCACAATCCAAATTCAGTGCTGTATCAAGCTTGAATGTTGTGTCCATACTTACCCCAACTGTTCAGGGTTCGACCTCTTCGGTCGTATCAAGCTGCGCCCAGCGGAGCATTTTATTAATTGATTGTATTCTGAAGGTGTAATTAAAAGCTACATACATGCAGATACTTTTTTGCGTGAACGCCTGAGGGTTCACGCATATTAATTAGTTAGAAATATAGTCTGTGGAGGAATATTCGGAAGCTAAATTATTCTTCATTTGGAACACTTATTCATCTTATCTGTATCAGCCTCCTGCAATTAAGAGCACCTCCATACGGGGTATCTGAGATATTTAAAACATCGCAATAAAGAAATTGTCTTATTCTCTTATCTGATATATGATAATAAACTAAATGTATCTATAGAACACTTTCAAACATGTATGTTAAAGCTATATTTATGCATCGTAAGTGTTTACTTGAGCAAAGTTGACAGTTGCAACATTTGATAAACAAGTGAAAGTTAAATGGTCAAGATTTAACGAACTATGGTATCGAACATAAGTGCCAGATATTAATGGTGTTGTGGTTTCTACATAATGAGTTCAAGTAGGCTTTGGGATTTGTTGATTTGTAACAATAAATTTTATGCACATGTCATTTTGACAAATCAGATAAACAAAAATGTCCGTTTCAAAAACTTAAAATAAAACAAATAAAATAAAGACTGTTTGTTAATATTCCCAGGAAATAATCATATTCTTAATAATAAAAAATATATTATATACTTTTTTAAATAAGGAATTGCATGTTAATCTTTCATGAGGTCTTTAAAAAATATGTTATGCAAAAGAAAAAAATACAAATACACAAAACAGTTAACTCTAGATTTTTACACTGAATAAGCATACAATGGATTCTGTAAACATTGGAAAGTTAGAAAAAGAGTGAATTTGATCTTACGTTTGGGTATTTGTTTAAGTAATTATATATCAATATAAGAATTAAGATTGAAAATACATAATATACTGAGACCAACATCACCGTGTATCATCGGTACAGCGGATATAGCTTAATAGGTACTTCGAAGGGTGAAAAGCTATATACCATACATTCAACTATGCACCGTACAGAAGGATTTATGTAGTTAGCCATACACTGTACACAAAGCTTCTTTTCGGGATAAAATATCAAAAAATAACATATGTATGAAAGATTTCAATGCCAATTATTGAAACAGCTATACTTATTATGCACACACAGTGGCCTTCTATCAGAAAAAGAGTTGCAATGAATATAGAATCATATTGGATGAGACGAGCTCCAACTTCTTTGACAAGTATTTGCACATGTATTTAGTAAGCGTTCTTGTTTTGGGAAAATAATGAGACTTCTCTAATCATCAACCTACGACCAAATCATTTCTTAAAACAACAATTATGTTTAGATTGAAGTACAAATTGATATTATGTAAACAAAATATACGTAATAAATCTCAAGACTTTAAACCGTTTTTGCTAACTAAATAAATGTTTGTTGCCTATAATTCAGAATTTTATCAGTGTTTCGGGATTTTTTGCTTAAAATTGTTTAAGCATGGGTCCCTTTTCAAAAGTCTCCCAACTACTACCTCGCAAGGTATTCTTGTTGGCATGCGTTTATATGCTTTTTTGACCTCGTGTGACTCAATTTTATTAATGAAATCTTTTGAATCTTGAATGTAAAAGTTAAGCCTCTTCAATAATGGTTTTATAATTAGATCAAGAAATCTCTCAATGCGTCTCGTGGGAGTGTTACACTTATTGATAATTGGTCAGTAAGGAACATTTAATGTCTCCTACTATCTGACCAGTTCGCAATGTCTCATTAATTATGTCTAGATTTATTTTATGAATTTTTGAAAGAAGGTACATGTGTCCATGTTTTAAATCATTATCATTCTTTAAGAAAGTATACGTCTGAGAATCCATTTCTTTTTATGCCCCCTACGTAGCGGTGGGGGCATTACGTTTTACCCTTAACTGAGTTGGTTTCCGTTCTCTAACTTAAGTTTGCTTCAAACAAATGTTATGAAACTTATACATAATGCTTATTACCACAAAATACAGATCAAGTTTGAAATTGGTGGCGTCACTTTAACCGTTCTAGAGTTATGCCCCTTTTCAAATGAAAATTGCTGAATTTTTCATTTCCGTTCTCTAACTTTAGTTTTCCTCAACCAAATGGTATGAGACTTATACACACTGCTTATTACCACAAAACACACTAGATCAAGTTAGAATTTTGGTTGTGTAACGTTTACTGTTCTAGAGTTATGCCCCTTTACAAACATAAAAGTTTCCGTTCTCTTACTTAAGTTTGTCTCAACCATATATTATGAAACTTATACACAATGCCTATTACCACAAATGTCAGATCAACTACAAATTTGGGTAGTGTCACTTTTACCGTTCTTCAGTTATGTCCCTTTAAAACTTTATATGATATGCAAGCAGGGGCATCATGTATGTCCAATGGACACATTCCCTTTTTATTTTCATCTCACTTTATAATTAACACCACTCTCATATTGTCATGATTTACAATAATTTAAAAAGAAAATATCATCCTCCACACACATGGCCATGAAAGCACTGAGATATAATTTTTAATTTAGTTGAATTAATATTTAAAATAGCATAAAAAAGTTCTAAGGTTCATGTATTGTCTTTTTTTTTTTAAAAAGCAACTTGTTTGTTATTCTAATGCAGTTTGACAAGTTCTTAATGCACACAAATTTTAATCAACATCCTAAATATCTTCTATATATGAACAAATTGAAATATACTTTGCTTTATTTTAATTTTAATTATTATAAATACTTTTTAAACATTAATAGCATATGCAACGAACTTCTTTTTTACCATTATAAGTCAGACAAACACAAATTCAGCATGAAATGGCAACACCACACTAATATTTTGTAGATTTGAGAAATTCAACAAATGTTCAATATTTCTTTCATTTATTATAATAAGGAAAACTTTCTTAATTCATATACAAGCAGATCTAGAGTTTGCATTGTTTTAACAAATATTTATATTATTAATTATAAAAAAAAGTTTAAATAGTTAATGACTTGGATTAATTTGCTAGGTTTTTAGTTTGTGATAGTTATAATATTAAATGTGTAAAAATGTATATTTATAAATTTTATCATCAATTCTTGAATTTATAATTTTATATATATTTATCATCTGAAGTCTATCTCAATGTATAAAGAATTACTGAAGTTGCACATAATATGACTAATCAAGATTACCAAAAATAACATGGCAGTGCATACTTCTTGTTTACCTTGTTTTAAAATTCTTAAAGTAAGTATATCAATTTTCAAGGCTTGGCAGCTGCTATTAGGTCAGACAGTGAATATTTGATAAACATGTAATTTTTATACACTTATTCACCACTGTGAAATAGAGGTACTATGTGGGATTTTTAGTCTGTGTTGAAATTTTTTATGAAACCGTTATTGGTACCTATTTATAAAACTTGAACATTGTTTAATAATTAAGACTTCAATGTATATATTTATATTATATATTTTGTTTTTGTATGTCCTATTGTTGACTCAATTACAATAATTGTATCTGATTAATATGCTCTTTATGGGCCCTGTAATTTAGAATTTTTAATTTGATAATATATATTGTCATATATAATTGTCATATTAACAAATTAAAAATGTTTTTAACAAAAACATACATTATATATATAAACGAATGTGCAAAGATCTAATGACTGCTTATAAAATAGCTGATTAGTTCCACATGTTCTTTTGATATATATATATATATATATGGTTTAATAAATTCATGAAATTTTTGTCATAAATTCATTCTCACAGTTTTAACTTTTTAAATAGATCTTAATTTCTTATTGATATTGTGCTCCAAGAGGAAATGTTCCTCGTTTTCCAAAACATGACACAGTTTACAAAGCCTATCTTCTCTAGGAATTTTGAAATATCTACTTGGACTTTTCAATTTCACTTATATGGAGTTTGGTGAAACACTTTCTAATAATAACATCATGGTACAAATAAGTAAAAATCTTTTTCTGGACCCATGTTTCTTATATTTGTATAAAAATAAAGTACTTTTTCAATCAACTAAAATTTTATATTTATCATCTATAATTTCTCTCTTGATCAGAATCTTAAGTAGTCTAACTTCTTTCAAATTATTACAATTTTCTATTTCATGTTAGATATCACTGCCAACTTTTTATATGGCTATTTGTCCTTAAATTAAGAAAAGGTTGGGCGAACAACTTCTTTATTTTAGATATATACTTGATGAAGTAGAGAATGGAAATGGGGAATGTGTCAAAGAGACAACAACCCAACCAAAGAGTAAAAAAAACAACCGAAGGCCACCAATGCATGGCCATGGGTCTTCAACACAGCAAGAAAATTCTGCACCTGGAGGCGGACTTCAGCTGGCTCTGAATAAAATTGTTTACTAGTTCAGTGAAAATTGACTTCATACTAGCTTAAACTAAACATACTAAACTTGCATATATTATCTTTTTGATAAAAAAAAAAACACTTAAAGGTGTTAATATTAATTGAAATCAAATCCTCTCAAATGCAGACTTAATTGACCACAGTTAATAAATCATGACAGTAGATAATCATACTTGTATTGAGGTATCCCTTGTGTCCCTTATAATATCATTCCTGTATTCGAAATATTGTATGTTAACTTCAGCAAAGTGTGATGACCATTTGCTATTTAGATGAATTCTTCAAATTCGTGTCTAGATGTAGTGGATTTGATCTTTCCAATCCAGGATATAACTTTTTACGAAACTTCGTAGTAAAAGTGGCACAGTTTTAACAGTAAAAGAAGATCTTATGGGAAATTGCATTGTCAATATTTACAGAAGTGCAACCTATAGGAATGTCTTGTAATCACTACTTCTGGTGGGATTGGGGCCAATGGGTTACATTACCACATGATTTAGAAATGAAAGAATGAAAGAAAATTGAGAGTGCAAGTCCAGTGTAAAACTTATAAGGTTGATGTCACAAAAATATTTCAAGCATATTCTGGACGAGAACAAATTAAGGATAAATACAATGGTTGGGTCCTGTAATAGAGAAGGTCAGGGAAATTTAGACTGCCATGGGAAAATGAGGGTATAATGGATGGGGAGAGAAATTTAGCGTTGCAACAGGCCACCTACAGACCCCTCCAAAAAGTTGTTGCAAGGGTTCTTAACATGCAAAGAGCGGGCACTCTCTTTTCATGAGGCATTTGATTTAATGCTCCATTCTGACGGGACTTGACTGCTAACTTGTACATCCCACACAATCGAATGGACACCCTATTTTGACAAGATTTTTACTACCGGGCATGGGAAGGAAGACCAATTGTGACCATATTTCTATTCCTCTGTGACTGTTGGGGAATTTAAGAGGAGAATAACTATATAACCTATATATAATCTATAGGCTAACAAATAGAATGTTGTCACTAGTTTTAACCAAAGACAAGTTTGATTTAAATCAGTTTTGATTAATTTTAGGAAAAGGAGTGTTTACCAGCAGAAATTTTAAGAAAGGAGATTTTCTTCTTGAATATGAAGGAGAGTTGCTTTCCAGTGAAAAAGGTGTCAGTAGGCTGGACGAACATGTGGCAAGTGGCATTGGTTGTTATGTGTTTTTTTTCAAAAATAAAGATGAAAAAAAATTGAGGTAAATGTGTAAATTTAAGGAAATGTGAATTGATGACTCATGATATAATTTTTGTCGAGCCTGCGTCTTTTGTTGCAGAAAGCTGGACATAGGTATAGTGATCCGGCGGCGGCGTTAGCTAACTTCTTAAAAGCTTTATATTTTAGAAGCTAGAAGACCTGGATGCTTCATACTTTGTATATAGATGCCTTATGTTACGAAGTTTCCGCCTGTCATATGTCCATTGTCCTTGACCTGATTTTCATGGTTCAGTGACTACTTGAAAAAAAAAGGCAACATTTTTTGTAATGTTAATTTCTTTCTTATTATGAGAAATAGGATAACTATATTTAGTATGTTTGTACCTTGCAAAGTCCTCATGCCCGTCAGACAATTTTCATTTGACCTCGACCTCATTTCATGGATCAGTGAACAAGGTTAAGTTTTCGTGGTCAAGTCCATATATCAGATACTATAAGCAGTAGGTCTACTATATTTGGTATATGAAATGATTGTAAGGTGTACATGTCCAACTGGTATGTGTCATCTGACCTTGACCTGATTTTCATGGTTCAGTGGTCAAAGTTAAGTTTTTGAGTTTTGGTCTTTTTTTCTAATACTATATGCAATAGGTCAACTATATTTGGTGTATGGAAATATTTTATGATGAACATGTCAGTCTCGCAGGAGTTATTTGACCTTGACCTCATTTTCACGGTTCATTTCTCAGTGTTAAGTTTTGTGTTTTGGTCTGTTTTTCTTCAACTATAAGCAATAGATCAACTATATTTGTTGTATGGAAGGATTGTAAGGTGTATATGTCTGTCTGGCAGGTATCATCTGACCTTGACCTCATTTTCATGGTTCATTGGTCAATGTTAAGTTTTCATGGTTAAGTTTGTTTCTTAGATACTATAAGCAATAGGTCAACTATATCGAAAGCATAAATTGATTGTAAGGTGTACATGTCTGTCTGGCATGGTTCATCTGACCATGACCTCATTTTCATGGTTCATTGGTCAATGTTAAGTTTTCTTGGTTAAGACTGTTTCTTAGAAACTATAAGCAATAGGTCAACTATGTTTGGTTTATTGAATGATTGTAAGGTGTACATGGATTTCTCATTTGGTTTATCTGACCTTGACCTCATTTTCTTGGATCATGTTAAGTTTATGTGTTACTTGTAGTAAAGCTTTATATTTAGGACTATCAACATAAAATCAATGGTTAGTAAAGAAGGCGAGACATTTCAGCGTGTGCACTCTTGTGATTTTAAGTAGAGAGTGATAATTCATAGAATTAAGTTATCTTATAAAAAATAAATCTAACTGGATGTTCACAATGTAATATAGGAAATGTCTTTATTTTTTTTATTTGGATATGATTGATTGATTGATGGTTGCTTAACTTCTAGTGGTCTTCTGATATGATAAACTTCTTGTAAAACGATAACATTTGTGTTGAGTTGAGTCTGTCACAGAAAGCTCGATATAGGGATAGTGATATCCAAGTTGAAAATTTTCGTCACATTTTTCTCAGGAACTACGTAACAAGGATTTCTGAAATTTGGTTTCAGGGTTTATACAAGTCAGCTATAATGTGTGATGCATTTTTAACCGGATTTTCGAAGGAAATATTGGTTATTAAAATGGTGATATACGGCGGGCGGCTGACAAACAGTGTCCGCACAATAACATGAAAACGCTTTAACAAATTAATTTCAAATTTAAATATGTTGTTTCCTGGGACTTAATGAAGGTCTCTATTAATTTTCAAGATTTTAGTATATCTCCTTTGTGAGTTATCGCCATTTTTAATATCCAAAAGTAGAATTTTTAAATATTTTACTGTTGTTGTCATGTTATGATTTGTCTTATCTCAGAATAAAAATTGGAGTGACAGATTTATTTGAAAATTATCTATTTCCTAAGTGGTAATGATTATAAGCTATATCATTAGACATTTTGAAGATTATTACATTATTAATTATGTTAGAGTACTATGTTAAACAACCATAGTTCTGTTCAATTAGATATTATAGATATTTCAGCATATGATAATGATTTATTTTCATTATTAATTAGATCTTGGAAATATTTTAGCAGATGATAATCATTGGAGTGACAGATTTATTTGAAAATTTTCTGTTTTCTGATAAGATCTGTAGGACTGTATATATACAGTTTGAAACTTACTAGTATTACTGTATAAATGAAGTTTGGAATTTACTGTTCATTATTAGACATTTTGTAGATAATTAAGTGTCCATAAATCATATATATTCTTATCCCTACCCCCCTTCAATTTGAAAATGTGCTTTTATCTTGTAAACGGTTGAGATCCCTACTCCTAAACCATATATATTCTTGTATGGGACAATAAAACAAATCAAATGAAATATTGGGATAGTCCTCGGGTTCACAGCTACCCCCCTTTTTTTGAAAACTTGTAAATGTGCAAGCTCCCCACCCTGAAACCATATATATTCTTGTATGTTACAAATCAAATGAAATGAAAGGTGAGTCCCCTGGGGTCACCCCCAGCGTGTCTGTTTGAGAACTTGTAAATGGTCGAGATCCCCACCCCTAAACCATATATATTTTTGTATGGGACAATAAAAGAAATCAAATGAAATATAGGGGAAGTCCATTGTGGTAACCCCCCACCCCCTTCTGTTTGAGAAATTGTAAACGGTTGAGATCCCCACCCCTAAACCATATTTATTCTTGTATTTGACAATAAAACAAATCAAATAAAATTTAAGGGAAGTCCACGAGGGTAAACCCACCCCCTTCTTTTTGAAAACTTGTAAACAGTCAAGATCCCCACCCTGAAACCATTTTTCTTCTTGTATATTACAATAAAACAAATCAAATGAAATAAAAGTCAAGTCCCCTGGGGTCACCCCCACCTTTTTCCTGTTTAAGAACTTGAAAACGGTTAAGATCCCTCACCCCTAAACCATATATATTCTTGTATGGGACAATAAAACAAATCAAATGTAATATAGGGGAAGTCCATGGGGGTAATCCCCACCCCCTTCTTTTTGATAGCTTGTAAACGGTCAAGATTCCCACCCAGAAACCATATATATTCTTGTATGGGACAATAATATCAAATCAAATGAAATATAGATGAAGTCCACGGGGGTAAATCCCAACCCCTTCTTTTGAAAACTTGTAAACGGTTGAGATCCCCACCCCTAAACCATATATATTCTTGTATAGGACAATAAAACAAATCAAATGAAATTTAACGGAAGTACACAGTGGTAAACCCCACCCCCTTCTTTTTGAAAACTTGTAAACGGTTGAGATCCCCACCCCTAAACCATATATATTCTTGTATGGGACAATAAAACAAATCAATTGAAATTTAGGGGAAGTCCCCTGGGGTAACCCCCACCCCTTTTTTTTTTTTTAAACTTGTAAATGGTCAAGATCCCCACCCTTAAACCATATATATTCTTGTATGTTACAATAAAACAAATCAAATGAAATAAAAGTCAAGTCCCCTGGGGTCATCCCCACCTTCTTTCTGTTTAAGAACTTGTAAACGGTCAAGATCCCCACCCCGAAACCATATATATTCTTGTATGGGACTATAAAACAAATCAAATGAAATATAAGATGAGTCCCCTTGGGTCACCCCCACCCCCCGCCTGTTTAAGAACTTGTAAACGGGTGAGCTTTTTATTATTAATAAGATAATACCACATTGAGGTCCAAAGGGTCCTAAATTAAACTTTTGTTTAATTTCATCAAATATTGAATTCTTTGGTTCTTTGATATGCTGATTCTAACAATGTTTGAGTGTTAAATCATATCTGATTTTAGAGAACTTAGTCATCACTGGTTGTTGTTATTATATTATTGATTATAATTTGAAAAATTGCATCATATCTTATTTTAGAGAACTATTTATCCAGTTTGAGTTATTTCCATTTGCACAGAAAATATTATGGATAAAAATAACCTGTGTTTCATTTCAACATAAATTAAATATATATATAGGGTTCTTTCAAATGCTGAATCTAAACTCTATTTAAATATTAGATTTTTAGGCCCAGTTTTCAAGTTGGTCCAAATCAGGGTCCAAAATTAAACTTTGTTTGATTCAACAAAAATTGAATTTATGGGGTTCTTTGAAATGCTGAATCTAACCATGTATTGAGAGATTTTGGATTGTGGGCTCCTTTATCAAATTTGTCCACATTGAGGTCCAAAGGGTCCTAGATTAAACTTTTGTCTGATTTCATCAAAAATTGAATTCCTGGGGTTCTTTGATATGCTGATTCTAATATGTACTTAGATTTTTGATATTGGACCATAATAGGTATTTAAATGTCCAATTTCAAATATATCAGTTCTTTGACTACATTCATTTTGTGTCACAAACCTATGATGTGTCAAATATTCAATCACAATCCAAATTCAGAGCTGTTTTAAGTTTAAATGTAGTGTCCATACTTGCTCAACTGTTCAGGGTTCGACCTCTGCAGGAAAAACCGGTTTGCTGTCTCTCTGACAGCCTCTTGTTAGATTCATCACTCAACAACTTATTGTTTACCGTCAAGTATTTGGGCAGAGGTATCATCAGTGATCAGTTACTAAGCTCGCAATTTAATTCACTTGTTAATCTTGCTTTTTTTTCGTTTCTGAATTTACACTGTTCCTTCCATCTGTCCATCTGTCGATCTTAAGTTCATATGTCTGTCTGTATGTCCATAACAAATGCTAACTGGATGTTGACTTGAATTTGAGATTTGACTTCAGTTTGAAAATATAGAGAGGAAAAAAAACACTATTAATTATACCCCACGCAACGAGTTGTGGAGGGTATAATGTTTTTGACCCGTCTGTCCGTCCGCCTGTCCATCCGTCTGTCCGTCTGTCTGTCTGTCCGTCAGTCCGTCAGTCCTGTTTCTTGTCATCGCAACTTTTCTCAAACCACACAACAGAATTTCACGAAACCTTTTTAGATAATAAGGACATACTATGTAGTTGTGCATATCGACAGGAAATTACGATTCAATTCTTTTTCTAGGAGTTATGCACCTTTGAACTTATTTACTTTAATGTACTACTGCAACAGTTTGTCATCGCAACTCCTCTCAAACCACACAACAGAATTTCATGAAACCTTTTCAGATAATAAGGACATACTACGTAGATGTGCATATCGACAGGAAATTACGATTCAATTTTTTTTCCAGGAGTTACACCCCTTTGAACTTATTTGCCCAATATCCTACTGCAACCTTTTGTCATCGCAACTCCTCTCAAACCACACATTCGTCAACAGAATTTCATGAAACTGTGTAGATAATAAGGACATACTACGTAGATGTGCATATCGACATGAAATTACGATTCAATTTTTTTTCCAGGAGTTACGCCCCTTTGAACTTATTTGCCCAATATACTACTGCAACCTTTTGTCATCGCAACTCCTCTCAAACCACACAACAGAATTTCATGAAACCTTTTCAGATAATAAGGACATACTACGTAGATGTGCATATCGACAGGAAATTACGATTCCATTTTTTTCCAGGAGTTATGCCCCTTTGAACTTATTTGCCCAATATACTACTGCAACCTTTTGTCATCGCAACCCCTCTCAAACCACACAGCAGAATTTCATGAAACCTTTTCAGATGATAAGGACATACTACCTAGATGTGAATATCGACAGGAAATTACGATTCAATTTTTTTTCCAGGAGTTACGCCCCTTTGAACTTATTTGCCCAATATACTACTGCAACCTTTTGTCATCGCAACTCCTCTCAAATCACACAACAGAATTTCATGAAACCTTTTCAGATAATAAGGACATACTACATAGATGTGCATATCGACAGGAAATTACGATTCAATTTTTTTTCCAGGAGTTACGCCCCTTTGAACTTATTTTCCCAATATACTACTGCAACCTTTTGTCATCGCAGCTCCTCTCAAACCACACAACAGAATTTCATGAAACTGTGTAGATAATAAGGACATACTATGTAGATGTGCATATTGACAGGAAATTATGATTCAATTTTTTTTTCTGATATAATTTTTTTTTCTTACACTTATTTTATTTCTCCAATGACAATGTGGGGACGTGGGGTATGTGAGCGCGCTCACTAAGGTTCTTTCATTTTGGGAGCAATAAGTCAATGATTTTTGGTATGCAAATGTATTGGCATTTGCAAGTTTCATTTCCATGGAGATTATATAACCCCACCCCCTAATTATGGTTCATTGACTTTGAAACTTTTACATAGTTTACAAGTTAATGTTTGTGTTTAGGTTTGTTTTAAGGGAACGACTTATGAAAAGTCAATATTATATGGTTTGCAGTTGTATTAGCATTGGCACATCTCAATTCCATGGAGATTGTTTAGCCCTGTACCTTCAGTCATGGTTCATTGACTTTGAATATTTGCATAACTTACATGTTAAAGTATTGCTATTTTAATTTCAACATTTGCATTATCAAAATAACAAATAGGCGAGACATATCTCTGTGTTAACAGTTTATTCTCTTTTATTATCTGAAATATTACTGACCGAATTCTTTTATAATAGGTGAACATTTGTATAGGAAGCACATGAAATTGACGAAAAAAGTTCATAAATTTACCTTAAAATCAACAATTTTTTATTTTTATTCCATAGATTTTTCTTAAAAAACTCTATGTTGTTGATACATAAATTTCCGTTTTAATGATATGAAATAATCATATGGTCACCGACTTCATTTTTGGTGTATTAACAAATCTGTTACCTAGTCTGTAGTAAAAAATATAAAAAATCAACGATTTAGGGTCTACAACGCGAATACGTTACGATTATTTCAACGTTTTTGTGTATTTTTTCACCAAGTACACCACTTTGCTTGAAGTAAACTGTAAAAACGATGTCGGTGACCATATGATTATTTTCCATCATTAAAACAGAATTTTTTTTATCAACAACATATAGTTTTTTAAGAAAAATCTATGGAGAAAAAATTGGAAATTTGATGATTTGAAGACAAAGCTAAGAACATTTTTCACCGATTTTATGTGCTATCTATACAAATGGGCACCTATTTTGAAAGAATTCAATCAGTAATATTTAAGGGAAAAAAAAGAGATAAAGGCATAATTTTTTCGATTTTCAGATACAGTTCAACGAGCCAAACGAGGTGTATGCAAAATATTAAGAAAATCTGTGACATAGCCCATTTACTGTAACTTAACCTTAATTTGAGTGAGATATACTGTAAATTCAGAAATTATTGCATGCATTTATTATTGTGATTTTTCAAGAATGGACAAAAATGAGAGTGATACTATATTGCGATTTCGAAAAAAAAGTGAATTCGCATCTATATTTTAATAATCAGGATGGGAGTTCTTTTTTTGGCAATACTCATCCAGTCGCATTATTCATATTAAGAAAAACCTCACAATTATTTCTGAATTTACACAACAGTATGCAGATTGAAATAATTGGAGCCTTAATTATCAATGGGTCAAAGTTCAAGGTCTTGGTTACTGGAAATAGAAATGTTTGGAAATTATTGGTTTCCTATGACAATGTTAGTTACTGAATTTGAACTTTCTTTTGAAAAAAGGACCCAAGGATGGGGAGGAAGCATTTGAAGAGGATAATATGACAACTATAAATAGTCGTTACAACCACATCATTTGGTCTCTATTGGATAGTTGTCTCATTGACAATCATTCAACATCTCCTTCTTTATGCATGTGTATATATAAAGATTGAATTGAAATTTTTGAAACTAATTTCTGTAAAATTATTGGACATATACTCCCACTGGCACAGACTTGTCAGATTAGCCAGGGTCAAGGGTAAGCCCGACCAAGTGTTTAATGCAGGATGTACTCTTTAGAAATACTTTTTATTCAATAAGTGTTTCATGATTGATAATGTTGAATTCTGTTCTATTTTTTAGCATTGATGGCACATATTCTAGGCTTAAAGCCAGATATGTAAATGATGGTATAGGTATTGAAAAAAATTCTGTTATGAAAAGAATTGATGTTGATGACAGCCCCCACTTGGCTTTATTTGCTGTTAGGGATATAAAAACAGGAGAGGAACTCCGTTATGATTATGGGGAAGCATCTAAGTACCTGCCATGGAGGAAGAATTCAAAAATCACCAATGTAGCAGTATGTATTAAAAGCATTGAATTTTACACAACTGTATTTAGGTTTAATATGACAGGGCTTCTATTTGTATTGTTAGATTGTTATAAGATTTCAGTTGTTGTTGATATCCATACATACAAATAGAGACTGCTTGCTCATTCATGACTTTACAGAACAGGCATTTGAATGATATATGTCTAAGACTACCTTAAACAGAGACAAAAAATGGTCATCAATATATACGGTACCTACGGTAATTAATATTAATCCAGATGGTCAATTTCACCAAATCATAATTTGTGAAAAACACAGAGTGGAGCACTAGTTAAATGTTTATGAGGCAACTAACTCATCATTGCAAAATATATATAGTTGTAAAGTTTTCCGAATATTTCAGTTTTCTTATCATGCTTTGCGTAGAACCAGTCTACAATTTACAAAGGTAAGTAAATTGTTTTAAAAGTGTGTAATGACAGAATCAAATCCGTAATTAGCAAAAGGACAATTGGGTGACATATATATATATGCATAATGCCATTAATTATAATGGAACAGGGATAATATTAAGTTTATGTGATACCTGTAGTGGAAACCTTATCTTTAAAGACTTATCATAATATCCAACCATGAGGAGAAAAGGACAGGCAAGACATTCAGTTAAAGCCATGATTAATAGCTAGCTATAGGACAACTATATTTGGTATATACACTTGTATATATATATATATATATAGAATCATTGTAAGGTATACATGTCCATCAAGCATGGCTTGGTCTGTTTTTCAGATATTTTAGCAATAGCTATAGGTCAACTTTATTCAGTATTTTGAAAAATTAAAACAACAAAAATACCAAACTCCAAGGAAATTTCAATACAAATAGTCTCTTAACAAATAGCAAAATCAAAAGCTCAAACACATCAAATGAATTGAAAACAACAGTCATAATCCTGTCTTTTTTACAGGCATTTCCTTTTGTAGAAATGGTTGCAAGATTAACATCTGTGTCCTGGCAGGGTTCATCTGACCTTTAAACCACATTTTCATAGATTAGGTGTGTTTGTATGCCCTATTTATGGGCATTATGTTTTTTGGTCTGTGTGTGTTATCTTTTGTTTGTCTGTTCGTTCTTCGTCTGTTCGTTTCTTTGTTCTTTCTTTTGTCAGTCCATTCCTCTGTCTGTCCCGCTTCAGGTTAAAGGTTTTCAGGTTAAAGTTTTTGGTCAAGGTACTTTTTGACGAAGGTGAAGTCCAATCAACTTGAAACTTAGTACACATGTTCCCTGTGATATGATCTTTCTAATTTTTAATGCCATTTACTGTTTGCATATAGTTTGAAATTTTACATCACTTATTGTACAAGGAAAATATTAATCAAAGTTTTCTTTGCTTCTATGAACAGGAATAATTTAGAATTTTGTCTGCAGATTTGTAATGTTAAGTTGTAGCTAGTAAGCTGTTTCAATTTTTATACGACCGCAAAAATTAAAAATTTTTTGGTCGTATATTGGTATGACGTTGTCGTCGTCGTCGTCGTCGTCTGGAGTCGTCCGGCGTCATCCGAAGACACATTGGTTTTCGCACTCTAACTTTAGTTTAAGTGAATGGATCTCCATGAAATTTTACCATAAGGTTCAATACCACGAAAGGAAGGTTGGGATTGATTTTGGGGGTTATGGTACCAACAGTTAAGGAATTAGGGGCCAAAAAGGGGCCAAAAATAAGCATTTTTGTAACTTCCAGACAATAACTTGTGTGTAAGTGTATTGATCTCTCTGACATTGTACCACAAGGTTCCATATCACAAAGGGAAGGCTGTAATTGATTTTGGGGGTAATTGCCTCAAAATTTTAGGAATTAAGGGCCAAAAAAGGGGCAAAAAACAAGCATTTTTCTAGTTTCATGACAATAACTTGTGGGTAAGTGTTTGGATATTTCTGAAATTGTACTACAAGGTTCCATATCACAAAGGGAAAGCTGGAATTGAGTTTGGGGGTAATTGCCCGAAACGTTTAGGAATTGGGGGCCAAAAAGGGGCCAAAAATAAGCATTTTCCTAGTTTCCAGAAAATAACTTGTGTTCAAGTGTATGGATCTCTCTGAAATTGTATGCAAGGTACCATACCACAAAGGGAAGGCTGGGATTGAGTTTGGGGGTAATGAATAATAAGGGGGTTCAAAAAATTGGGGGGGGGGATTTTTTTTTTTTAGCTTTTTTTTTCTTTTTTCCTTTTTTTTTCTTTTAAAATTTTCCATTTTAAGTTGGTTATTTCTGATTTATATTTAAAAGCAAATAATAATGATATGGTAGGAGATACACATCAAACAGGATGTGTAAATTATTATATAATAAGTATTGTGCAATAGCAAGACATTTTCAATTGCACAGTATTGCACAATAGCAAGAAATCTTCAATTGCACAGTATTGCGCAATAGCAAGAAATCTTCAATTGCACAGTATTGCGCAATAGCAAGAAATATCCAATAGCACAATATTGCGCAATAGCAAGAAATTGTCAATTGTACAGTATTGCGCAATAACAAGAAATATTCAATTGCACAGTATTGTGCAAAAGAAGATACTTCGTATAAATTGCTTATTTCTTGATCAATTGCAATGGGGTTTTATTCTTGAATTCTTGGGGTTCTTTAATATGCTGAATCTAACCGTGTATTAAGTTTTTGGATTTTGGGCCCCGTTTTTAAATTGGTCCACATTGAGGTCCAAAGGGTCCAAAATTTAACTTTGTTTGATTTCATCAAAAATTGAATTATTGGGGTTCTTTGATATGCCGAATCTAACCCTGTATTTAGATTCTTAATTTTTGGTTCCGTTTTCAAATTGGTCTACATTAAGGTCCAAAGGGTCCAAAATTAAACTTAGTTTGATTTTAACAAAAATTTAAATTTTAGGGTTCTTTGATATGCTGAATCTAAACATGTATTTAGATTTTTGATTATGGGCCCAGTTTTTAAGTTGGTCCAAATCGGGGTCCAAAATTAAACTTTGTTTGATTTCAACAAAAATTGAATATATGGGGTTCTTTGATATGCTGAATCTAACCATATACTTAGATTTTTGATTTTTGGGCCCCGTTATCAACTTTGTCCATATTGAGGTCAAAAGGGTCCAACATTAAACTTTGTTTGATTTCATCAAAAATTGAATTCTTGGGGTTCTTTGATATGCTGAATCTAACCATGTATTTAGATTTTGGATATTGGACCATAATAGGTGAATGTCCAATTTAAAATTTTTAAGTTCTTAGACCACATTCATTCTGTGTCAGAAACCTATGCTGTGTCAAATATTTAATCACAATCCAAATTCAGAGCTGTATCAAGCTTGAATGTTGTGTCCATACTTGCCCCAACTGTTCAGGGTTCGACCTCTGCGGTCGTATCAAGCTGCGCCCTGCGGAGCATTTTATTAAATTTTACAACACTAACTGTACAAGGAAAATTTTCATCAAAATTTTCTTGGCTTGTAAGAATGGGAATGATATAATTTTAGGTCTGCAGCTTAATAATTTTGAGTTGTAGAGAGTAGCAATTTTCACATCTGCCATGTAGCCACTTCTTGTTTACTCATAGTTTGAAATTTTACTCTTCTTACACGGAAAATCTGTGTCAAAGTTTTCTTGACATCAGTAAAAGGGAATGATTATGTATGCTCCAGTACACATGTTACATCATGAATCAATTGTTTGCATGTAGCAAGTTAAGTCCAGACCTGTTATTGGTCTTGTTAAGATAAATTCTGCAACTTCAAGCATTCATAGTCATAGCTATTTTGTCTTAAGTTCAAATAAAGTGAACCGTGTTACATATTTGTTTTTTGTTCACTTTTTTATATAAATTAGGCCATTAGTTTTTCTCATTTGAAATGTTTTACATTTGTCATTTCTGGGCCTTTTATAGCTGACAATATGGTATGGGCTTTGCTCATTGTTGAAGGTCGTAAGTTGACCTATAGTTGTTAATTTCTATGTCATTTGGTCTCTTGTAAAGAGTTGTCTCATTGGCAGTCATACCACATCTCCTTTTTTATAGTGACAGTCATTCAATATAAAAAATATAACTTAATTTCCTGACTTGTACTGAAAAAAATCAACATACCTTTTATTAACAGGATTTCCAAAGGAAAAAATTGGTTATGTAATATAGATACCAGTCAACACTGAGGTTGTGAGTTCGAACCCCGCTCGTGCAGGTGCACTCGACTCCAATCTTAATTGACTAGGATTGTCAGTTTTCCTATCGAAGGTCGGTGGTTTTCTCCGGGCACTCCGGCTTCCTCCACCAATAAAAACTGGCCGCCACGAAATAGCCCAAAAGCGGTGCTTAAAAGTGGCGTTAAAACACCAAAAATCAAAATCAAATTAATATAGATACAATGAATAAGTGTTGATTCTTGAAAAAGAAACCATGAGCCCGGAGGGCGAATGGTTTATTTTTCATGAATCAACGCTTATCCATTGTATCTATAACTTAAACTATTGTGTTAATGTCTTTTCAAAATTAAAGCCTTTTCTTAATTAGAAGGTATTGTAAGTGAGTATGAATAACCATGGTATCATGTTCCACCATGCATTACTAAATATAAGATCACAACTAATTGGTTAGAAAAATACAAATATAACACAACACGTCTGCCTTTAAATTATCAGGCATCTGAATATTATCCGTGTTTACAAAATAACTTGACATATTCGAACTTATTTCTACTAAAATTGAGAATGGAAATGGGGAATGTGTCAAAGAGACAACAACCTGACCAAAGAGCATATATAAAAGTATATATAATAAGTATGTTACCAAAAATTTCTAGCAAGAAGCCTAATTCTAGGCACATCACGATTTACTCGCATAGGAATTTGCGAATAAACATTTGTAAAATTATGTAGTAAAACAGATGAAATCTTACTATATTTATAAAACAAAAATGGACAAATTGAATGTAATCATTATTGTTTCAAATATGTGAAATAGCCAATAATAATCCAAAAATAAACGGTAAAACTTGCTATTATTACAAAAATATCCACAATTACATACAAAATAAGAAAAAAACAGAAAAACTAAAGAATAGGGACAACAAAGAAAATACAGGGATTCGAACCTAAACCGACAAGTCCCTATCTTTAACTTAACTCTTTAACTCATTGATCTTAACCATGCTAACCTCGCGGCTACCAACTTATACTATACGATTGCCTATTATGTATATATAAAGGTACAAGCCCTGTGTGTCAGTTGTACCGATGTATATCATATGTTCATTTATACATATAAAATAGACATGTAAATTGTAACCAATTGGTAGCCGAGAGGTTTCGTCGATATGTTGATGTTAGTCACACATAACAGACTTCAAGGACGGGTTCGCTTCCCAGTGAAGGCATATAAAAATTACAAAAATTAAAGGTAAGTTTTCAAATTAATTCCATTAGTGAACAGAAATAGTAAATAGCTAATTCAAACTTAATGAAATTAGACACACAAAGGAAACAATTGAACATAATTTGGTGAATCCATTTCAGCGACAGATTTAGAAAGCTTTGATTCTAGAAAAAGAATCCACGGTAAATGAATAGGCTGACGTCACGACAATGATTTAATGATTTGGGGATGTACTGCAGGCCGTCAGGCATGCAATCAGGCTGCCGCCAGTGTCAATATATTCACTCATTAACCATCAACCAAAGCCTTTTCAATTTTAAATGACAAAAGGGAGGTCAGTTAGTTCAATATTGATGATTTTCACTTTCACCGTTCAGGAGTTATGGTTCTTGTTAGATTAAAAAATAGTCTTTCCAGTTGTAACCGTGCTCTAACTCATGAACCTTTCAACCAAAGCTTTTCAAATTTTAATATGTTGTTATTGATGACGAAATGGAGGTCAAGTTCAATATTGATGATTGTCACTTTTACCATTCAGGATGTATGCATGGTCCTTGTGATATTGAAAATGCCAGGACACAAATAAATGTTGAAAAAAAAACAGTTTGCTGTCGCTCTGACATCCTCTTGTTGCATATGAAAGCACACTGATTCCTTGAAGTTGGGTAGTACAAAAACAGATACTTCTGATCTGATAAACAGTGCAAATATGCCCTTTTATTTAAATTTCATATATGTTTTTATTAATCAAAAGAAACTTTTAACATACATTACAGTGAGCCTAAGTCCTTCAGCTTTCATTTGATTTTAAAATTACCCAACTACTTTACTTATTGACAAAGAACCCTAAATCTTAATTTACCGTTGAGTCAAAAAGGGAGACTTAGGTATACTGTTTATTTTTATCCGGCTGCCGTCAACATAATATTAAAATTTATGATAAGGTCAGTTTAAGGGGAACCACTTATAAGTCAATGATATTTGGTATACAGTTGTAAAAACATTGCATTGGCACATCTCATTTTCATGGAGATTATTTGACCCTGTCCCCTCAGTCATGGTCTATTCACTTTGAAACATTTGCATAGTTTACAGGTTAAAGTTAGTGATTAGGTCAGTTTATGAGGAACCACTTATGATAGGTCAATGATATTTGGTATGCAGTTCTATATACATTGGCACATCTTATTTCCAAGGAGATTGCTTTGTCCTGCCCCCTCTTCCATGGTCTATTGACTTTAAAACAATTTCTTTGTTTAAATGTTCAAAGTTTGTGATTAAGTTTTTTAAGGGTAACCACTTAATGACTTATAGTAAGTCAACAATATTTGGTATGCAGTTGGAAAATTATTGGCACATCTCATTTCTTCCAAGATTGTTTGGCCCTACCCCCTCATTCATAACTACAATCCCGTCCCCTTTTCCCTAATGTGACCTACCGAATTAGACTTATTACCGGGTTTGTACTAACATGAGCAACACGACGGGTGCCACATTTGGAGCCATTATCTGCTTACCATTCAGGAGCACCTGAGATCACCCTTGTTTTAGGTGGGGTTCGTGTTGCTTAGTCTTTAGTTTTCTTTGTTATGTTTTGTGTACTATATTTGTCCGTTGTTCTAAGTTGTAATAAGTTAACTATATTTGGTATGTATTTGCATATCTAATTTCCATGGAAATTATTTGGCCATGTACCTTCAGTCATGGGTCATTGACTTCTTATTTTTTACATAATTTACATTTTAAGGTATTGGTATTTCAATTTCAACATTTGCATTTTACCAATATGATTAAAATACACACTTCTGTGTCAAGACTTTGCCTACAAGGATCAGACAGAACATCATTATTTTTCTGTTCATGATAATTATTACATCAGGTACAGATATTTCAGCCTTCAAATTTTTACAGTGTTTATTAAGCTGAAAAACAACCCAGATCTTTAAAACAAAAAGAAGAACATATTGTTTTCAAATCCTTGTAACACAGGATCAGTATCAGTCTCATTAGGTGAATGTCACCTCGTTTCTTGGGCCCTGAGTTGTGTAAATATTAAGTTTGGTGAACTCTATTCAATTTTTTATCTTGCTTTCAATGAAATCGCTGAAGGCAGACATATGAGTTACATTTCTGGTGACGTGTAGGCGGTGTCAAAAACTGTGAAGTTTTCTGCTTAAGGCAGTTAAATAGGAACTTACTTGTGACAGATCAATTGTATTTTCTCTAAAATTGCATTACTATCAGTACATATGAGTTTGACAACTATTTCAAGGCCGCTAGGTCATTGTCAATTAATAGCAATTTTCAATATCAAATTTTTTATACTCAAGTAAGTTTGATAGGAACTTAAGCTGAATGATCCTTAGGGTATCTAGAATAAAGTTTGTGTTTTATTTTCTGTTTCGTCAAAAAACATGGCCACCATGGCTAAAAATAAAACATAGGGGTAAAATGCAGTTTTTGGCTTATATCTAAAAAACCAAAGAAGTTAGAACAAATCTGACAGGGTAAAAGTGTTCATTAGGTGAAGTTCTATCAGCCCTGAAATTTTCAGATGAATCTAATAACCCATTGTTGGGTTGCTGCCACTAAATTTGTAATTTTAAGGAAATTTTGCAGTTTTTGGTTATTATCTTGAATAGTATTAAATATCAAGATAAACTGTAAACAGCAAATATGTTCAGCTAAGTAAGATCTACAAATAAGTTTATATGACCAAAATTGTTAATTGACCCCTTAAGGAGTATTGCCCTTTGAGGACAATTTTACACAATTTGTTTATCATGTTTTCTAACTTTAAAAAATCTTCTCCTCTGAAACTACTGAACCAATTCCAACCAAACTTAAGCTGAATGATCCTTAGGGTATCTAGAATAAAGAATGTGTTTTATTTTCTGTTTCGTCAAAAAACATGGCCACCATGGCTAAAAATAGAACATAGGGGTAAAATGCAGTTTTTGGCTTATATCTCAAACACTTAAGCAATAAGAGCAAATCTGATGGGAGGTTAAAATGTTCATTAGGCCAAGTTCTATCAGCCATGAAATTTTCAGATGAATCTAACAGTCCATTGTTGGGTTGCTGCCACTAAATTGGTAATTTTAAGGAATTTTGCAGTTTTTGGTTATTATCTTGAATATTATTAACGATAAAGATAAACTGTGAATAGCAAAAATGTTCAGCAAAGTAAGATCTACAAATAAGTTAATATGACCAAAATAGTCAAATGTGTCCTTAAGGAGTTATTGCCCTTTAAAGACAATTTTTCACAATTTGTTCATCTAGTTTGCTTACTTTAAAAAATCTTCTCCTTTGAAACTGCTGAATCAATTTTAGCCAAACTTGGCCTGAATGAGTTTCAGAGTATCTAGTATAAATTTTGTATTTTATTTTCTTGTATGTCAAGAAACATAGCCACTATGGCTAAAATGGAACATAGGGGTAAAATGTATTTCTTTGCTTTTGAAGAAAATATGACAGATACAAAGAACATTTCAATGGAATTTTTAAGCCACTCATTAATATATATTAAAAAGCAAAAATAATCATTGATGAAAGATTTAAGCAAAAAATTACAGGTGAGCAATTCAGGCTCTTGAGAGCCTCTTGTTTTAAATCCCTTACTTCATGTACTTATCCATCTTCATTCAAGACACTAGTAAAAAATATGGATAATGAGGAGGATGATGAAGTAATGATCTAAAGGGGTCCTCAAAATAAGTCATACAGATTCTTAATATTAATAATAGATGATTAAAAAATGAAAATAATTTTTTTATTGGTGTTTTTTATTAGCAAACCAGTGAAATTTCATGAAACAAACAACATGTTCAAAACCCTTTGGAAATGCTCCAGAACACAGGATTAAGCTTCATTTATATCAAAATTTTCTGGGGGGGGGCATGCCCCCAGACCCTCCTAGAAAGGGTTGTGCCGGTGGCACGACCGCCCAAGTGCCTTAGGAGGGCTAGTAGAATGATAATTTAACTAGCCCTGCTGGCTAGTACTGAAATTTAGTTAGTGTCAAACCCCGAAGTTTAACCCGAACTTATCAAGTCAATTTCCGTTTTGCTGGTGAAACAAAGAAAAAACTTGTTTCTATCATGCAAAATACACAAATACAACCCGATAAATGATTATCTGGTTGTTTGCATATTTATATTGTAAAATATTAGCTGCTAGTCAAAATATGAAGCCTTTTTGAACTCCTTTGCTGCGCTCACTAGACAAAAGCTTCATAGTGTGACACACAGCTGATATTTTACAATATCAGTATGCATGCAGACAACCTGATAATCCGTCATTATTTGTATCATGTAAGGAGAGATTTTCAGCATTCTTTTCTAGTTGATCAAATACATGCTGCTTTGATTCTAGAGATTTTCATCTAAATTTCATTTACAGTCTACAACAAATACAGATGAAGCATCTTATGATAAAGGTACATATATATTTATATCATTTAATTTAGCTGTTGCTCTCTATCCTATTTCCTAAACTAAGGCAACTACAAAAGATATTTTTTTGTCATTTCAAATTTGAAATTTTAATCCTGGTACATGTATCTAGGATGAGTTTATTCAATAGAAGGATTGATAATCAGATGTTGGCTATTATGTAAATGAGACACCATTACCCTTAGACACTCCTTAAATGACAATGCATAATTATGAAGGAAAACATATTGATCAGTAAATTCCGAGATTATTGGGTCCATTTTTCATTTTGATAGTTGATCGATGTAACAAATGTATGAAAATGCTGTGTGTTACTTAGAATTTAAATGCAGTGACTGATTAATTAAATGGTGCTTATCCCTCTTCCTTTATCATGGCTTTATGAATAATAAAAAAATACTGTTCTATGTCCTGAATCAGACTATTAAAAAAGAAAAAGAAAGCATGGCACGGTTATGTGTTATATTTTTAGTGATTAATGTTTTAATTGACAGAAAAGTACACAACCAAACTTTGTAGAAACTATACGATTGCATCTGTCTGTTAAAGTAAAACAAACTGAAACATCAGACAAATTTTACAAATTATATACCATGTTTCTGTGTGCTTTCTCATTTTAGGCAGTCTTCCAAATCTTAAAATAGAGTGTGAGTTTGTAAAGACACAAATTCCTCTTATCTGTCACTCCAATGATGATACAGCACATGATTCAAGTCAAGATGATAATCACTTCCAGGCTGATGACCTAGAGTTGCATGATCCTTCAAGTTCTGGGAGCAGTCAATCAACAAATCCTGCAGATTCTAGTTCTAGTAATGGTTCTCTTAAATCACAAGACAGTAGTGTACATCATGAAGATAATGGAAGTACTAATGTACATAGTTCATATATTCAGTTACATGGCAAGTCAACAGACCCTGGAAAATCTTCTGAGGTGCTTTCTGCTGACAATAATCCACCATCATTGGATGACCTTGACCTACTTTCAACAAAGCAGAAAATACTAAAACATACTGAAAGGAATGATTTTAAACAAGGCAGTTTATTGTGTAAGTAAATTTCATGAACAAAATATCTCCTAAAAAGTTTGATTTATACTTTATTTAGTCCATATATGATTAATTTATGTACTGCAGATTCAGTTTTATTCAATGGATACTAATTTGTGGATTTCATGGGTATAGGTTATCCATTTAATTAAAAAGTGTAAGATACTTCAAATTTAAAAAAAGTTATGTTTTATATACTTGAATGGGTAAATTTTACTATGAAACAAGTGTACCAGGTCTTCCAAAAAAGGTCTAAAAATATTGATCGGACAAGTCTGACAAATTATATTCTGGACAGCTTGTGCCAAGCCTGATCTGGGCATTACACATGGGTTTACCATTTTTAAATAATTCAGAAAAAAAATGAAGTTAATGCTATATTTTTGACCTGACCATTTATATTAAACAGCCACAAAATTTCCAGTCATAAAAGTGACATTATGATTGATTACTATAAAAACAAGTCCCCTCATTGCAATCAAGGCTAATTAGTTAATTAGTATTCTGCAAGAATGCCTGGCAGCAAAATTATTGTTGCATACTGTTTCACATACCCCTTGTGCCCCTTTTAACTCCACTACTGAACATAAACAATAGGAATTGGTTGAATTTCCTGATGAGGGCTCAACTCTCCCCTAATCTGTTGTAAGTGGTGTAATAGCACAAAATAACTGTTAAAATCAGTTTGAGAGTTTGTGCATTAGATCAACATAAAATCTGAAAACAACTAATGAAAAGACAAAAGACACAAAGTACCAATCTAATTGTACTTGCAGTTACTGAAAACTACTTTAAAGCCAACAACAATTAACAAATAAACCATTTTCTCCCAGACAGATTTAGTGTTAAAATGCAATAAAAAGTAATGCAGTAAGAGGAGTAGTTTTGCTATGCCAAATTATAAATGCATAATATTAATAGGTTGTTAAGGACCATACATTTTCATGAATGCATGAATAACAAAACATCTTTAGTTATGGGATCCCGCTAACATGTTTAACCCTGCCACATTCTGTATGTATGTGCCTGTCCCAAGTGAGGAGCCTGTAATTCAGTGGTTGTTGTTTGTTGCTGTGTTACATATTTGTTTTTCGTTCATTTTTTTTGTACATTAATTAGCCCGGCTATTATTAATCTATCAAAAACAAAAACAGTTTTTGTTTGTTATTTCGGAGCAACCATGTGTTGGTGATTGATTTGATCTGTTGTGCTATGCAATATTTTGGGTAATTCCTGCTATAACGTTTTTCTAGGATACATATAACAAAGTTGGTAGGCGAGACTTAGGCCTCCAAAGCAATTATGTTAAAAATATCTTCTTCAGCATCAACCTTTTGAGATTAGGTCAGTGTAAGATAAGCAGCTAATGGTAAGTCACTGATAATTGGAAGCCCACAATAATTGGTATGCAGTTGTGTCAACATTATAGCATAACTAATTTCCAGGTAGATTATTTGCTCCCGCACTATCAGTCATGTTTTATTGACTTTGAATAATGATATACATAGTTTACATATTAAAGCATGTCATTTCAATTTCAACATTTGCATTTTACTGTCAAAATTACACACAGACTAGGGGGAGGGTTGGGATCCCGCTAACATGTTAAACCCTGCCACATTCTGTATGTATGTGCCTGTCCCAAGTGAGGAGCCGGCTATTATTAATTGTTTTCCTGTAGAATTGTTTTACATTTGTGATTTTGGGGCCTTTTATAGCTGACTACTGGTATGCAGTATGGGCTTTTCTCATTGTTTGTGGTTGTACGGTTACCTATATGTAGCTGTTAATTTCTGTGTCAATTGGTCTCTTGTGTAGAGTTGTCTCATCAGCAATTATACCACATCTTCTTTTTATATAGACTTTTCTCTTTGTCAACAGGTTGTAAAATGCATTAAGTCCTATAAACTTTATACATTGATGGTTTAGTGTACTCCTAACTTTGCATGGAATCAAGGTTGTAATACAGTATTGCAGTTTCATTACAACAGGTGAACCTAGTTTACTTGAAAGCAAACAGAAAATGTGTGATGGAAGTTTACCTACTGAGCAAGTCCAGTCTTCAAAACTTCAGGTAAGACATGGTAATCTGAAAGATTTTTAAAAGCATTTGCTTTTACTCTCATCGTGTATGGCCATTTTGTTTATCTTCAAAACAGAGTGCACACGTTTTTCATTCTATGTTATTTCAAGATCCAGTAAATATGTGTTTGCATGATTTTTGTAATGTAAATTAAGTTGATTTGATAAAGCATTCCTCAAATGCAATATTTAAATCTAGTTCCGTCTTATTACCAGTTTAAAGTGTACAAACACCGTTAATTTTATTTTTTACGAATTAAATTTTGCTGTTTTAAAAGAATAAATAGGGTCTTTCTTGCTTGTTTAAATATCAAAATACTTTTGTTAATTTAATCAGAGTGTCGTATTGGTAAACCTAACTGTGTTTGTGGATTTGTAACAAGTCGTGTTTATTTCAACGTGGTAATTTTTGGTATTAAGATATATAACATTACCGGACTGGTTTACAATGCCCAGTATTTCCTATGAAAACAAATTAAATTAAACGATCTAGATTTTGACATTTTCTTAATATAACGCTTTGATTTCTGTGTGGGCCCAGAGCCCCAAAAATATTTCACTGGGCCATTTTTAGTATTAATGAGCCATGTTGTCAAATGGGCCATTTGTTTATAACAAAAAAATAAAAAAGGGTATGTTTCAGGAAAACCTGTATGATTCTAATTTTGGCACCCTCAACACCAAGTTTGGGAGACATATTGGTATTTCACATTTCTTTTTATCATATTTTTAGCTCACCTGGCAGAAGGGCCAAGCAAGTCTTTCTCATCACTTGGAGTCTGTTGTCCTTGGTCGTCCTGTTGTCCTCACTCGTCATCATTGTCCTCGTTAACTTTTTACATTTTGAACTTCTTCTAGAGAACCACTGAATGTAATGAAACCACACATGGCATGAATGTTCCTTATGGGGTGCTGACCAAGTGTGGTTACTTTGAAGCTGATCCATTATCCAAGATTGCCACCAGTGGGGGACTTCGTTTAACATGGGAACCTATGGACTATACATACAAATGTCTTCTTTTATAGAACCACTGAATGGAATGAAACCATATACAATGGATGAAATTGTTCCTTATGAGGTGCTGACCAAGAGTTGTTACTTTGAAGTCGATCCATCATCCAAGATGGCCGCCAGCAGGGGACTTTGTTTAACAATAAACTCATTGCGCCAGATGCACGTTTCGTCTACAAAAGACTCATCAGTGATGCTTGAATCAAAAAAATGTTCAGAAGCACAAAGGACACGATGGACAATACATACAAATGTCTTCTTTTAGAGAACCACTGAATGGAATTAAACTAAGCATGGCATGAATGTTTCTTTTGAGGTGCTGACCAAGTGTTGTTACTTTGAAGCCGAACCATCATCCAAGATGGCCCCAAGAGAGGGACTTAGTTTAAAATAGGACCCTATGGGAAATACATACAACTGTTTTCTTTTAGAGAACCACTAAATGGAATGAAATAAAGCATGGCATGAATGTTCCTTATGAGGTGCTGACCAAGTGTTGTAAATTTGTAAGCGTTCCATCACCCAAGATGGCTATGAAACCACTTAATGGTGTGAATCAAACATGGCATGAATGTTCCTTATGAGGTGCTGACCAAGTATTTTTTCAAGCCGATCCATCATCGAAGATGGTGGCCAGCAAGGGACTTCCTTAAACATAGGCCCTATGGACAAAACATACAAATGTCTTCTTTAAGAGGACCACTGAATGGAATGAAACCAAACAGCATGAATGTTTCTTATGAGGTGCTGACCAAGTGTTGAAACTTTGAAGTCAATCCATTATCCAAGTTGGCCACCAGAGTGGGACTAAAGTTTAACATAGGACCCTATGGGAAATACATACAAATGTCTTCTTTTAGAGAACCACTTAATGGAATGAAATAAAGCATGGCATGAATGTTCCTTATGAGGTGCTAAGTAAGTGTTGTAACTTTGTAAGTGATCCATCATCCAAGATGTCTGCCAGTTGGGGACTTCGTTTAACTTAGGACCCTATTGACAATACATACAAATGTTTTCTTTTAGAGAAACACTGAATGGAATGTTATAAAACATGGCAAAAATGTTCCTTATGAGGTGCTGACCAAGTGTTGTAACTTAGTAGGCGATCCATCATCCAAGATGTCTGCCAGTTGGATACTTCGTTTAACATAGGACCCTATTGACAATACATACAAATGTCTTCTTTTAGGGAACCACTGAATTGAATGAAACCAAACATGGCATGAATATTCCTTATGAGGTGTTGACCTAGTGTTGTTACATTGAAGCCGATCCATCGTCCAAGATGGCTGCCAGCAAGGGACTTCATTTAACATAGGACCCTATGGACAATACATACAAAAGTCTTCTTTAAGGGAACCACTGAATGGAATGAAACCAAACATGACACGAATGTTCCTTATGAGGTGCTGTTGCTATGAAGCCGATCCATCATCCAAGATGGCAGCCAGCTGGGGACTTCATTGAACAATGGACCCTTAGTATGGACAATACATATAAATGGCTTCTTTTAGAGAACCACTGAATGGAATGAAATAAAGCATGGGATGAATATTGCTTATGCGGTGCTGATAAAGTGTTGTTACTTTTAAGCCGATCCATCATCCAAGATAACCACGAGCAAGGGACTTCGTTTAACATAGGACCCTATGGACAATACATACAAATGTCTTCTTTTAGAGAACCACTGAATGGAATGAAACCAAACATGGCATGAATGTTCCTTATAAGGTCCTTTTCAATAATTTTTGGACGTAGGAAGGGCTTATTGTCCCGACACTGGATGGTGTTGAAAATTTAATGTCACAGTGAAAATCAGTTAGACAAGTTTTTTTGTATTTATTCAGTACTTAGGTCAAATTGCAAAATGACTTTTGTTGCATCACATTAAGAGTTGCAAAAGGTCACAGA